CGATCCTATCAGATGTCGAAGCCTACTACTCGCTGGAACGATGAGGAGTTGAACGCATTCTTAAAAGGGATTGAGAAGCATGGTCTGGGAAAATGGACGACAATTTTAAAGGATGAGGAATTTCGTGAGGCTCTCTCGGCACGCACTGAGATGAGCCTAAGGGAAAAGCACCGTAGTCTCGTGAAAGGTGAGATTACATTCTGATTTTGATCAGAACAAACAATTTACTTATATCTGTTTTTTGAATCTGACTTTGACTTTGATTTGTTTTCCTCATCAGCTTCTGAAAAGGGGAAGGGTAAAGTTGAAGACGTCATACCACAGGAAGATCTGGTGAACATTATAATCTGATTTATTGAATTTGATATGATCCATTTTATTGAATCTGATATGATCCACTTTATTTGATATTTGGATGATGAATATGATATGATCCACTTTATTGAATTTGATATGATTTATATTATTGAATCTGATTTCCCTCTACTCCATTTTATTGAATCTGGTATGTTTTGTTTTCAGTTTACACCCCAAGTCCTCCAAACTATGCTTTTAGACATTGAGGCTGGACTCAAAGTCTTGATGACATCAACTACTGAATGCCCTATCTCAGTATCCACTTTGGAAGACACCAAGAAATATTTGCAGTGGAAGCTTGCTGATGCGAATGTGGAGAGTAATGTGACTAATGTGGAATCTGGCGAATCAGACTCTTGGTGGGATAATGAAAAATTAGACATGCTTCTGGAGTTGTCTCTGCTCGATTTGCCCGCCATCGATATATGGGAGAAGATGGTGGATACGTACAAAGACATTACACTTGACATGGTGGCAAAGAAACTCAAAGAAGCGATGGATGTTTAAACTTGTGAGATGAAGATTAAAACATGTTCTCTTTCTACTCGCTGGACCTTTTTTTTGTTTGTTTGTTCCTTTTCCTTTTGTGTGTACTACTCTACTACTCTTTTATATGGATCTGAATCCTGAAATTGAAACCGATTCTCAAAACATATTTGCTAGTGTTATACTGCTAGTATATCGGGTTTGAGTATCTGATGTACAGGTTTTGAATGTGTTGATCATTGCTCTTCTAGACGAGGCTTGGTAATGTTGAAAGGTCATGTTTGTTCGTTGCTTCTTTCATTTGTTTCCAGAAAAAATGGTTGGGATTCTGTCTGCTTCTACAGTATGTTTCCAAGATCAACACATGATACATTTGCGCAAAAGCTATACCAGAATTTTAAAGACCACAAGCGTTTTGCAAACCAAAGTAAGTTTGATGGTAATTAGCTGCTGCTGCTGATGTTGCATCTTCCAAGTTATTGTTGTCATATTTCTATGATGCAGGAATTTGTTGATGTTCTTCTCAAATGTGTATCCCAAAACGTCGGCTTCAGTCATGGAAAGCCTATTGCAGCTGTTACACAAGGTAGTGTAATCCTGATTTTTAGGATATAAAGCCTTGCAACTCTGTGGAATGCTTGTGATCATGGAGGTTACCGGAGTTGGAAGCTGGTTTTCTCGAGAGGAAAAAACTAGACAAGTAAACAAGTTTTTTTACATGTTTTCACTTCTTGTTGAATGCCTATACGATACACAAATAAATAGGGGTGGAATGATTATCACGGATCCGGCGTATCCGGAMATTCCAGGATATCCTGAAATTCCATGATATCCGGAATCGTCGTCCCTACAAGGAAATGCAGAGGTGAAAATAAGAAAACTCAGGGCACCACATGTTTTAATCAAACACTAATAATACAACATCTTAATGAAACATGAGTTCAAAGGATTGTTCAAAAGGAACATGACAAAGATGAATTAAGAAAAAAGAGATTACAACATGCAGAGCCTGATCGAGTCAAGAGCTCTTTTCCTTTGGCTTCCGGATTATTAATCAAAGAGCATAACCAAGATAAATTAAGAGTCGCCTCTTTTCCTTTTGTGTCCACCTTGGTCGATTCGGATCAAACTTGGAACATAATTATGAATAGTTGCAGAAACTCCCTTTGTTTCTGTTCCAAAATCCACTTTAGTGACTTTACTATCCTCCCCAACAAAGCATATCTTGTCGCAGAACGTGCCCCGCCCACGGAATACCCATCTCGTACAACACACGAGGAGCTTCCTCTCCTCGTCTAGCAAGAAAGTTGAATCAAACCAGAGTCTAATATCACTGCTCAAATCCAATGACAAGATCATGCTCCACGACACCACTTTGGTCGTCCCTTGATCAATCTTATTCGACACCCATATCTCAGTCTTTGATGTAGGTTTTTCCTTTAATAACAAGGCGATCTTCTCTTCTCTGACAACGGAAAGAAKTGTAGATCTSKGWGKKYGCC